GAGGGCCACTCCCCCTCGCCGCCCGCCGCGCCTTCGCCTGCCTCCAGCCCGGTGCCGCGGCCGCCCTTTGTCCCGCGTCGCTCGCTCTCCTCGGCGGCCGCGGAGCCGCGCTCCCGCCTTCCTGCCTTTGTCCTCCGGCCGGCCGGCGGCGGCGGCGGCGGCTGCACTTGCCTTCTCCGCTCGCTCTCCCGGCCCCGCCACCGGAGCCGGCCGGCCCTTTAGTCCTCCAAGCCCGGCACGGCCACTTGTCGGACCCTCCCCGACGCGGCCACCTCCTGCTCGGTCGCCCGCCCGCCGTCGGCCCCGCCGAGGCTTTGGGGCTCCCTTGGTTGCTGCCGGTGCGGCGGGCGGGGAAGGGCCTGGCTACCCTCCCAAAGTTAAGCGGGTCCCCGGCGACCCCGCCGCCCGCGCGGCAGCTCCCTGCGCTTTGTCCCCCGCCAAGGGCCCCCCTCCCGCGCAGGGGACTGACGGCCGGTGCAGGGGGCGCGGAGGGGCCCTTCCTGAGCGGGGCCCGCGGTGGTCGCTCTGCCCGGCCGGGGGGGGGCCGTTGGAGGAGGGAGGCCGGAAAGTTGCCCCTCTTTGTCTGCCTGGCTGGCCCGGAGGCGTCTCTGGAAGCGCCTTGGGCCCCGGAGCGGGGACCCGGCTTGGCCAGAGGGAAGGGGCCGGGGGGGGGAGAGGGTGTTTCGGAGAAAGAAATGCGCGGCTTCGGCGCTCAGCCTGGCCAGAAACACGCCGGTTACTTTTGTGGGCAGACCCCCCCTCTGCCCCCCCGCCCCGATTGCCGTAAACATCCCCTTCGGGGGGAGGGTGGGGAGAATCTGGCGTGGGGCTTTCCACCGGGCCGGGGCCGGGGAGACGGCGGGGAAGGCCGAGAACGTCCCCTCTTTTGTTGGGTGCCTTTCTGGGCGCGAAAGGGGGCGTGGTTCGCCTCGGTCTCTCTCGCGCGCGGCGGCGGCGGCGGCTGACGGGGGGGGGGGGCGGCGGGAAGGAGGCGAGCGCTGGACCCGGCAGAGGCTCCGGGAGCAGCCGCCGAACGGGAGCGGAGCCTGGGCGGGGGGGGGATCTCGGAACTCCGGACTCCCCGCCTCGGCCTCCCCCCGGTCCCCGGCGCTGCTTTCTTCCCGGGAGGCGCTCCCATCTGGCGGAAGGACGGGCGGCAGCTGCGGGGCTGCCAGGCTGCCTCCATCCCGATGGGTGTTTTCAAGCCTCTCCTTTGTCGTCCGGTGTAGAGCAACCTGAGACGGGGGGGGGGATATTTGGGGTGCCCCACCCTCCAGAAAAGAATGCCAGCCGCTGCTGAAGTTCCATTCTTGAAAGGAGGGGAGATAATGGCTACTGTAAATAAACATGGTTTCCCCCCCCCCCATTCGAGACTAGGAACAGCTTTGGAAATGCGTTGCGGCTCCATATTGATACAGCACCGGGAAGAAAGGGGTGTGTGTGTGTGTGTGTAGGAGGGGGTGTTTGCTGGGGCTCTGGGCAGAAGTGAGAAACGGGGATTCAGGATAGGGGTCCCACTGTAGTGGAACAGGAACTTGGGTGAAGTTGGAAAGGTCTGATTTTTGAATCCAGAAGCCCCAGTTAGAACAATGGAACCAGCAGTGGGGTTTTTTGCTACAAAAGATATGGAGGCTTTGAGGCCCACCAGCTGTGTTCCTGCAGCAGAGAGGACCCTCCACACACACACACACACACACACACACACACCCCGGGAGCACCTTTCTGAGGTGTCATAGCAAATCTGGTTATAAATCCTCCAGAAAAGGGGGGATTAAAAATATCTTCCTGTGCCCTAAAATCACTTAGTGTTCCTTCAGAGGCTCTGAAAAAGAAAGGGGGAAAAAAAGATATAGAGAAGAGCCTGTCACATTCTGTGTGTGTGTGTGTGTGTGTGTGTGTGTGTGTGTGTTGCCTCCCCTCGTTTTTTGGCTGTCCAGACTGGCCCACCGACCCAAATCCCCCCCCCCGTCCAAGCCCTCCGCCACAGTGGTGGTGCAGGCAAAGCCCTCCGAAGGTGCATTGCAGCGGAAGCCGGTCTGCTCTTTGTTTAATTAGGCTGGGTTCTTGCGAGGGGATGGAAAGTGTCTCCGCTTGTATTATTTTCGTATTATTTTCAAAAGGAAGTCGCATTTTAAGCCCTCTCAGAAATGGAACCCTGTGCATGACTACCAAAGAGGCTCCTTTTCCGTAGGCTGGGTTGCCTGCTGACTCTCACCCATTCGGCAGGCAAAGGGGCTGTTTGTGAGCCACACGGCAGACAGTGGGGCCTGCAGGAAAGAATGGAGGGGGGGGGCGCGGAGAAATTCCTCCCACCGTTTGCAGCTCATATAAATATGTAACGGCTGCATTCTCAGTGCAACTGCATCCTCGTAGCTTCTTGTTTGCTTCTTTAATTTTCCATGGAACGAGGGGGCGATTTTGCATGACCCCCAAACCAGAGAAGCCCCCCGACAAGGCCTGGCCTCTCCTTGGAGCGCACATAGTTTCGGGAAGGCTGGTTCTGAAAGGGGCTCCTGCTGCCTCCACACAACAAAGAGGGTTCTCTGCCCCATTGTTGGCCAAGGGACCTGCAGGTGGGGCTTCGGGGGGGGGGAATCCCTTCTCTGGAGAGTTTGGGGGAATGGCAGAAAGGGGTCCTGCTTCATGGCCTGTGCAAAAAAATAAAAGGATATGCTGAGAATCTCAGCCTTGCAAATTTATTGTGGTTTAAGCCACTGAGAGGACATTGGCCTCTCCTGGATAAGTGACACATTCGGTCCTGCTTGCCCTTTTTAATACGTGGCTGTAAATACACGCCCCCCCCCCAGCCTTGCACTTCTGGTGCGATTCATGGGGGTCACTCCTCCTCGGAAGCCAGTCCTATTTCCCAGTTGACTTTCTCCAGATTTTGAAGGGATCCAGAGAAAGGGGGGGGAGGGAGGGAGGGGGGGGACCTGACTTAACTTGAGGGCAAGAAATCCTGGGAAGAAATAAAGGCAGACGCTTTCTTTCGGCTTGCTTACAAATAAGCTTTTATAGGAAAGCAGTTCCAGTTCTCTGGCACAAGTCCTTTTCTTCATCAGCAAGGCAAAGACGCTGACAAGGTGTGCTATTGGAAAGGTCAGCTGCAGGTGCACAAAGAGCACATTAAAGACTCGGTTTGCCTCCCTCCCTCCTGAGGGGCATCCTCTCCTGCCCCCCCCCCCCGCTGGAAGAAGGGAACGGAGGACCTCCAACCCCAGCAGGCAAAAATGGAGTTCAGCTTCCAAAAAGTGGGGCCAGGCTTAGTGTGAAACCCCTGTCCTTTTCTCGTGCACCTGGATTTGTATGGAGAGGAGTGGAAAAGTGGATCCAGTTGACCGGAAAAGTCGCATAAGAACCACCAATTTCCTTGAAACCTATTTGCATTCTGTGTTTCTGAAAAACCACTTATGGTGGAGGGGAACAATCTTGAGTCTGGGCTTTTCCACTGCAGAGTTTGCGAAGGAGGCAGGACAGCTTTGTATTTTAAGGGCAAGCATCTTCCCAGCTCTCCATTGCTTTCATTATTATTTAATTATTAATCTCACTTCTACTTTGCTCCATCCTAACGGTTCGCCGACAGAGCAGGAAATTTGCTACACCAGGAGAAGGTGAAAAAAAAAAAGAGAGAAAAACAATGGCCAATTGAGAAATGCAACGTTTCAACCTTGGTTTCGCTGAGCCAATGGCTGAGTCCAGGATATGGCGTGGTGATGAGGATTTTGTGCTGATCCCGGGGGGGTCCGGGTCCAGATCCTCTCTCAGCCGTGGGAGCAAAATAGGGGAGGTGGGAGGGTTAGAGGTCACGGAGGAAAAGAGGGGCAGATATCTGCCAGACGATTCAATAACTAAAACATGGAGCCCGTGCACAGTGTGGAGCCACCAAACTCTTTGGGCACGGCACGCCATGCTGTCTTTTGTTAACCTGCATTTAAGGTTGTGCGTATTGTGTGAACCCAACTGCATCTGGTCATTGGCTGGTAAGAAGGGGCAGCTGGATGCCCAGTGCTTGACAACGCTCCTCGGAACAGGCCCAGGCTCAGCCTTGGGGGGGCTTCCAGATCAGACTCTCTGGTGACTCCCCCCTTCCCCTCCCCTTTCTGGGACTTTGCATAATCTTTGCTTGCAACTCTCCCACCTTCCTTCTTTTACTGAAAACAAAATGCATTGAGGAAGAAATGCCTTTTGATGAGCGGCTGCGGGAGCCGCCTGGCTGGGGACACCCTCCAGAGGGGAACCACCAGGCCCTTCTCTTTGGGCTGGGCCTGTGGATGATGGGTGCAGCAGAGTGGCCCTCGTCTGGTGACAGAAGGGCAGCTGAACCATGCATTTCCGAAGGCTTGATCCGGTTCCCCTCGGACTGTCGGAATCCCCTTGTGCTGAACCCAGAGGAGATCCTGCTGAGGACACGCGTGGTGCCCCCTTGATGGCAGGGTCTTCTCTCAGGTGGGG